GAGTTAATTTATTGGTTAAGAAGATAAGGTCATTATCACTCGCTATCTGATCATCAAGAAGGGTGTAAACACGGTTCACACAACATTGTTTCGGAGTGCTGCAGCGAAGCGGTTACTTTACTATCAGTAGGCAATCATAGTGAAACGATATTTAGGGTAAAACCAAATAAAATGTGCGCAATAAGATTCGTTCAGAGTTGAAAAGAATAAAAAACTTTTACGCCATCCAGAGCTTTGTTGTTAGCTGTCAGCATTTTTATTTCCTTTATGTAATACGTTATTTTTCTTGATCAAGTAATGGTCTCACATCCGAATTTTGCTCAGCAGTCTTGGTGAGACCATTACTTGATCAAGAAGTATACATACATATGTCCACACACCATAACATTCAAGTGAATGGTGGACAGGGACGATGCAGCAAAATTGGACACACGGGCTGATGAGAGCATTAAGCCTTCAGAAATACAGAATATGGGTTGTAGGTCTTACCTCTGAGATGCTATACCACCGAGTAAAACCGAGTACCTGTTTACCGGAAGACTTTGCTTAGGCTGTACCCCACCTCCTTAGGGCTTCACATTACGAAAGTGTCAGGATAGAGTAACGCTTTAAGTTTTTGTGGTCATATCCCAACCTTAGGCAGCAAAACCAATGTGTTTTGTATTTTTAACGATTGGCAAGAAACCGCGTACAAAGAAAGACGTATAATACGAAGAAACCGCAGAAGTATGTGTTGTTAAGGTTCTGAGACTCACCAGTGCCATGTTATCAAAACCACATATGTTGTTGGAGCGAAGAACAAGCCTGATCCTGGGATGGTCCTCGATGGTTCTAAATGTGGTGACGACAAGGTTGGTGATATCAATAAAATTAATTTTTTCTCCCGCTATCCCGTTTCCTTCAGATATGTGTAAATGCAAAGTGCAAGCCTCGTACTGAAGTGTCAAAAACTGTTTCAAAATGTAATGATCAATGTCATTACAGAGGTATAGATTCAATTTGTTTGCGCTTGTTTTTGAATTTTAACCCATCTACTTTCAGGAGTCTGCAATAACGTTGGTAATTGTCATTGTGAGAATGGCTTTGGTGGAGTTGCTTGTGAAATTCCTGGCTTTGGAGGGTCTGTGAATAGCAACCCTTCAAATACTAGCAGAGGGTAAGCCGCTTTCACACGTTTTTTTTTTCAATGAAATTCGGTTATAATAAAAACCTAAACCTATTCTTTGTTCATGAAACTGTTCCCACGAAATCTATTTTCTGAAGATATTACGAAAGGATCAATCACCGCAAAATACTGAATTAGAGAAAGTCAATGCTTTTCCTTTCCATGCTAGTAATATCTTCATTTCTGCAAAGCGAAGTGTTTTCGGCAAAACCTTGTTTGGTATTTAGCTATATTTTTAACAGTGGTTTCCAACAGTGTATCATTTCAGAATAACACCATCAACTGTTTTATTAATCCTTTTGGCTTTATCGACTATTGTGTTGGCCTTCGTTTGCTTTTACTACTGGTTCAAAAAGAAGAGGAATCTTCCTGGGGAGTAAGTTTTAGTAGCGGCTTTCAATAAGAATTTGACCCGATTCACTAGCTGAGGTTCTGACTTTGGTACAAAGCTACTGATGAAGAACTCATATGATCGTCTCATTGACATATCTATGATTTCTTCTTTAGCTGAGTCCGTTTTCTCAGGTTCTGGGACTATGTGAGAAAGACACTGAACTTGCGTGGAGTATTGGTACCTGTTCGAAAGGCGCCCCCGCCTCCGAGGAGACATTTGAAGAGGTACTTTAGTTCTTAGGGATACCCTTACTTCCAGTCTTGCTATGACTTTGCTTTGCGTATGACGCTATTTTGATGTGGAATTGGATAATACCCATTGCACAGGAGACTTTATCAAATTCTTTATACTGAAAGGTTTCCTATTTATCATCCTTCCTTTTAGGGAAAGTTTGAATGCTATGTGGGGTGACGGAGTCGTCACGTATACTGCAAATGAACGTCCTCAGACATGTGTACCTCCTGCTATCCCACTTATGACAGTCACCACTGAAAATCACACTGTTAAGAACAAAAATTCGAACCAACCTCTTGTTCAGTTCCCAGTTTTGGCCAACAACATCAGTGACAATAAGGTAACTTGATTCAACTTATTTAGAATCGTATAATTTTCTCTATAAGGCCTCTCATTTTCTTATGTTCCTCGTTAGGCTACATTCACAAGAGTGCCCTCCATGCGACCGAAGGAGCCGCCACCAGTTGTCCCTTCACGTCCACCAGAATATAAATTGGAAACCTTGTACAAGGAACGAGGAGATGAAATGGGCATTAAAAGGTGAGCTGCGAGAAGAAGTGGTTACAACGAGCCGAGAAGCGGCGGAAGTGAAGAAATTTATGAGTGAATTTTCTGTTTGTAACATTACTTACACCATATCGTGACAGTTACTAACTCAACCGTTTTATCAGATGTCCATATAGATAGATTTTTATAGAATTCTTCCTATTAAATTTCTGCTTGCTGTCAGTGCTTTTCTCAGGTTCCCAAAAAAATCCTTTTTTTCAATTGTATCCATTGAAGTGTTCAGGAACTGAGATTTGAGACCCAGAGTGTTATTCTAACTATATTTACCTTTTTCACAAAGAAAGCTTGGAAAGCTCTATTTTCTCACTGCTAAAAAGAAAAATCTTTCCAAAAGCGTAACATTCTTGCAACGCATTTGATATATCCCGTGTGCTCTTGCTTAGTAAAGATTTCTTGTTAGCCAAGCAAAAGCTGAGAGTATTTTTCTGCTTGAAATTGGAAACTGTCGAGCCAGTAACCTCAATCACCGTAAGTATTACAGTAACATCTTGGGATGTTTAATCCCCAAGAGAAATCTGCATTTTTGCAAAATTATCATGTATAAAGCTAACGTAAAAACTGTGATTATTAACTTTGACCGCA